GTTAGAACGAGCCGTCTTAGGAGGGCGTGGTTGACTCTTAACTTTTATAAAGAATATCTCTGTGGATTTGAGACTTTAGTCTTTGCAACTTTACAGATCTTCTTTATGCACCAAGAGCTTGTAACACTCCAAAGAGAAAGGAAAAATTGAAATCGCATCATATGACCCCTTTAAATAAACCCTAGTTAAATTTAGACAGTGTAGACTAATGAAAACACTAGGGAAATGAACCAGTGACACATTTGTATAATTTTTCTGCAGGAAGTTAGTGCTGTCAAATTTGTATTTGGCTGTACCATTGGAGGCATCTCTCTGTATAATAATTAATCAGTGTTTTGTGCATGAAAATAACACTTTAATGTAGCAAATAAATGCTGGAATACATATGTATACAGTTTTTGTACAAGAAAATCACAAAAAATATATACAATTTTTATTTTATAAAAATATAAACATATATACAGTACATAAATATACATATATATATATATATAAAATGCAAAATTATGTTCTTTTCAATTATTTACTACATTAAATATTCATTTTCATGCTCAAATTCATGAATTAATCATTACACAGAGTCGTGGCCAAAATTTAAATTTAATTTTACACAAGGCGTCTGACAACAGCCAGTGCTCCACACAGAGATCTGATCTGATCATCATCCAGTCTGTCTGGAATGACATGAAACAGAACAAACTGAGACGTCTCCAAGATGCTTAAAGAGACCTACCTGCAAAGCCACAGTACTGTTAAAAGTTTTAGGCACTTGTGTAAAAATGCTTTAAAATTAGGATGCTGTCAAAAATCATGTCATAAATAGATTTTCTTTATCAATTAACTTCTATTAACTAAATTAAATCAACATTTGGTGTGACCATCCTTTGTGTTTAAAACTGCTTTTGCCCTAGGTGCACTTGAGCATAGTTTTTCAGGTAGCTTTGAAGGTAGGTTTCTTGAAGCATCTTGGAGATGTCTCAGTTTGTTCTGTTTCTTCATGTCATTCCAGACAGACTGGATGATGATTAGATCAGATCTCTGTGTGGAGCGCTGGCTGTTGTCAGACTCTTTGTGCAAACAAAAATCTTACTGGATTATTACAATTAATGGCAAAATGAATGTTTGGAAATGTAAACTGATATTTCCTACTGACACACTACAGCAAAATATAGAAATAACTGACTTAAAACCATTTTTATCTGGTCAAAATAATAGTGTTCTAATAATTTTGGCCACCACTGTATACAGTACAGAGGTTTCAGTTGTTTTTGTTGAATTGGCCATTATTGTACATTCAAAGGAAAGCCTTTGGCTTGAGTTGCAGAAGGCATGGGATAACATTAGTGTTGAAGTTCTGAGGAAATACTGTATATTGACACTATGCCAGAGAGATGCGCTGCTGTAATTGCTGCAAAAGATGGACATACCAAATATTAAAGTTAAAAGTGGATAAAAAGAGTAAGTTGGAAAATAAACTGGACAGATCTATTGTACATTCAGAGGAAAGCCTTTGGCGGCTTGAGTTGCAGAAGGCATGGGATAACATTAGTGTTGAAGTTCTGAGGAAATACTGTATATTGACACTATGCCAGAGAGATGCGCTGCTGTAATTGCTGCAAAAGATGGACATACCAAATATTAAAGTTAAAAGTGGATAAAAAGAGTACGACTCACTTCATCTGATATTTGTTGTGCTCAGAGCAACCATCTGCATGTTTCATGAACATTATGAAATGAATTCATGTTTGGGAGGCAAAAAAGGACAATATTTTCTGATCTGTCAGGTGTTCTAACAATTTTGGCCACCACTGTATATATATATAATTAATAAAATAAAAGAAGTTAATAGTGGTCTTAAGATATTGTTATACTCTAATCTTAATGATGTTTTTTGCTTTTGTACAACATTGAGGGTTATAATGTGTTATAAAATATTGGGTTAATGCTAAGCATTGTTCTTTATTCTTTTGCCAGGCTGCAAAGGGATGTGGGATATTATTGCTTGCTGGCCATCAGCCAAAGTTGGGGAACATGTGGTTATTCCCTGTCCAAATTACTTCAGACACTTCTCTGATCATCATGAGGGTAAGTTGAAATCGCCCTCAAAAACCTTTGATGAACTTCAAGGCATTAAGCAACAGCTGTAACTCTTGAAGAAAAGTGCAGAGTGTCTTTTTGTCATTTTGTCAGCCTCAGTCATGGGCTGTCATAGGCTGTCACATCGCTGTAAAACTAAAAGTTTTGAGGCACTTCAGTGTCTGAAGTTGTTCAGAAGCTAATCTGAAACTCCCACATACTCACTGGAGTAGTTTGTTTGATATCACACTTCTCAAGGCAAAGTGATGAGCTTGGGAAAATGATAACTCTAAAATAAGCCCTTAATTGTCAGAAAGTAAAACAAAACCAATTTTTCCCCTCTAGCAAACAACATTTTAATGGTATGTTGTCATCAGTGTACGACAACATTAATAACATGTTTGCAGAACGCAGTACAACTACTGACTGTGGGTTACATTTTACATGCAGAACCGCTGCTTTGAGTGGATGGAATGGCTAATTCATTAGGGGGCAAATCAGACACATTGATTGAGTATGTACTACCATTAGGTCACACTTGTTTATCTGATAATTCTGTCTCAGCCACATCACACCAGAAACTATTAATTCAACTCATTAAAAGTCTGGCAGCATACCAAGTTCAGCACACTTGCATTAACCTGTTATACAAAGGATGTCTTAGGGCAAAGTTCTATACATTTATATATTTAAAAAATATATATATATTTATATACAATTTATATACTGATTTATTAATGTTGTCACTTTAACTTTTGGTTAATATCTTAAAAAGATATTAATCAAGAACCAGTCACTACAGTTTTCTTATCTTCTTAAATTAATTTCTTATCTTTAAACAATTATAAAATTCTTGGTAACACTATACAATAAGGTTAATTAGTTATCATTAGTTAACTACATTAGTTGACGAACTAAGAATGAACAATACAGCATTTATTATTATTAATTAATGCTCATTTCAGCATTTACTAATGCATTATTGAAATCACAAGTTGTTTGTTAACATTAGTTAATGCACTGTGAACTAACATGAACAAACAATGAACGACTTGTGTTTTTATTAACTAACATTAACAAAGATTAATAAAGGGTGTAATAAATGTAGTGTTCATTGTTCGTTCATGTTCATTAATACATTAACTAATGTTAACGAATGACACCTTATTGTAAAGTGTTGCCAAATTCTTGATTTTAAATTCTATACAACATGTTATTACATGTTGCAAACAGTAAATACCTTCATTTTTACTACTTTACTAATACTTTACATGTTTACAGTATATTAAACTGTTTGCTTGACTATTTATTGTGTTTTTTTTTATATTTGTGTATTGGGTTTTCTTATACATAAAATAAATTCAACACAGAGGTTAACACAACAGGCATAATAAAATAAATAATAATAATATTTTAAAAAATATTAATGTGAAAAAGGAGAGTGAGATAATGCACAGCAGATTGAATGTGTTGAAAATAATTCTTCTTCTGAAATTATGATATTAATACATTTTAAAAATTAAAAACAAGAATATAAAAATAAAATGTAAAAGATATTTTCATAGTTATAATTTACATTATAATTTGTAAAGGCAAAATAAAAGCATTTTATTTATACCAGTAGCCTCAGACTTCTGAATTCCACTGTAAACTGCAGCTCTATTGTACATTAACTTATTAAATACACTAGGTAACATTAGTCAAAATCTGCAATGTTGTAGATACATCTAAATTTGCAAAAATGTCCATGTGCAATGTGCATCAGGTACAATCTAATGGAAACCAATGTCGATTCCATATAATGGAAATGCAGCCTCTGTGCTGAAGGATGAAAAGTGTTTCTTCAGTAATGAACAGTGTTGGGCAAGTTACTCTGAAAATGGAATCAAATGACTGATTACTGATTACTCCTTTTAAAAGTAATCACGTTACTGTTCTGATTACTTTATTTCAAAAGTAATTAGTAATTAGTTACACTTCTAGTTATGTTACTTTTTTCTCCATGAAATTTATGAAATCCCAGCATACACGCTCCCAATAAATATTTGTTATTAAAGCATCAACATTCACAGAACACTGTTATTTTTAACTAAAGCAAGCGGCTGCTGTGTGTATGGTTTGGCATGGCAGAATGCCATCAAAGAGCGCTGCATTTATAATCTCTAAAAGACATCTCAGTTCATCGCAATCTCACAAATCTCTGTTATAACACAATAAATATATGCATAATGAATCTTTCATAATGTCTACAATTCGTATGTTATAATGAGAGGATTCGTGAGAACGCAAATTTCAGCACTGTGCATTGCTCAATGCTGCAAACACGTGTTATAGCCTAAATAGAAACTCTGCATACGCTTGCACCTGTTAATCGTTTATATTTTATATTAGTTCATGTTGCATTTGTGCAGTAGATGAATAACAATTTATTTGTTTTAGATATTTTATGTTTAGATATTTCTATTTTGCGGGAGTCCCGTGAATCATTTTATTCTCCCGCATCCCGCACACACACGAGTGTCTACGCCCGCACCAGCACTCACCCATCTTCTCCCGCGCCGCACTGCTGTTGCGTCGGGTCTCGCGGGAGCAGGTCTCTAATCCACTGGCACTTGACTCGTGTGCTATACATCCTTTTTACAATCTCTAGATTATAAAACACTGCATTCTGTCAGCAATGTAACGCGGCAGTAACGTATAGAGACCTCGGCTTGTAACTATACTCTAATTACTATTTTGAAAATTATAATGCATTAAATTACTCCGTTACTAAAAAAGTAATCAAATTACAGTAACGCGTTACTAAGTAATGCTTTACTGCCCAACACTGGTGATGAAAGGGGGCTGAAAAAGAGCGCACATCTGCTTTGAGGAGCTTTGGATTTCAAGCAGTTATTTCTGAACACACTGAACACTTTAGGAATGAAGAATAATAACGACACGAGCCCATAGACTGTAGCACGAGCGAGCGGGATGTGCAGGGTATGAGCCGGAATGACCAGCTGTAATAATGTAAGATTTTGTCATTTTTCTTTGAAATGTCCTTTTTCATTTTTTTTCAACTGCTCATTCATGCTAGTTATATGGAACTGTGGATTATTCTGGTCATAGTGGTTCCTAGCTAGCAGTCTGGATAAAAGATGCAGCCCCTTCGTTTAGCACAGAGGTTTAAAATCGCTGCCGTGTAAGAGAGTTTTCACGCCAGTGACATTTCTAGGCTGAAAGAACATTGGAGAAATGAGTTTGAAAGTGTTGTGAAGATGAAGAGCCGGTGCTGATGACTCAAACAAAAATCTGTGTTGTTAGCAACCAAGAGACAGATAACAGTGTTACTTCTCTGGGAAGTGGACACTTTTAATGAGGTCACTTTATTTTTTGCTAATTTTTCAAATGTATTTTATTTATAGATTTTGTCCTTTTCCCAGATCTAGACTTTTAATCGTAAAATCTAAAAAATCCATCATAAAAGTACTTTTTTAAAACTGAAGTGATTCAAACAAAAAAGTTAAATCAGAGAACATTTCAATATAATTTTTGCATTATCTTTTTCTTTAAGTGTAGTTTATATATATAAAAGTTTATATATATAAGTATTTTTTATCACCTGTTGTTCTCTCATAAGAATAAACAAGTACAGTCATAGTCTGCTTCTGTATGTGTAAGGTGTATTATATACTGAAGTATTCATGAAGGTGCTCAACCTCAGCGTTTAATTAAAGTGTAGGCTTTAGTCTTACTCTTGTTATGTCATTCAGTCCTTTCAGTAGTGCTTAATTAATGAACGTTTGATTAATGAAGCACAGTATTTCACTGTTGTTGTTTTTTTTTTTTAGTGCCTGGGGATTGTATATATCACAAAGCATTAGTTCATTCAATCATCTAGCAAAGCTGCTTGTTTCATATGCAGCCGAGTGTGAAGGTGGCCACATTTGAGAGCTGAGTATGAATGTAATCATACTCATTGATCTTTCACTGAAAGTGGATCAGTCATGCATTCCATTGCTTATATGACTCCCCACAGCCAAATACTGAAGCCCCTCTGGTGGTTCCTCATCATTTGATGAGCAAGTGTTTTTTTTTAGCAACAGAGCTCAGTTAAATGAAAAAGAACAGAGTTACCATTTGAGCCCTGTTTTAGCTCTGCTGTTCTGAGCAGTGTATGAATTCTCACCGCACTGGCTTTAGGACAAGGATAATATAGCTGCATTCTGATTGACTGGATTCCTAAATGCTGTGTTCACTGCTCCCTACACACTGAGGAGGGGATATCTGTCGATTGATAAAATCTGTTTATTTGGAATGGCCAGAAAAGGCATCAAACTTGAGTCAGATCAAGTCTTATGTTATACATAATATACTCAATAAATAACTATTAAATATTATGTTACATGTACTATAGTAATAGCAGTAAATTATGCTTAAATACAAGCAACTAAACCAAAGTCTAACCCTAATTATATAGTAAGTTCATAGTTACAGTAATTATTATTACTCAGTACATATTTTGAAATTATTTGTATAACTACACTGTAACAAGGGCACCTTAAAATTCAGTGCAACCTTATAGTATAATTAATTTTTCAGAATTAAGCAAATTAGATAAATATGTGATGTTTGCAGTGATTAATGTTAAAATAAATATAATCAGGTATATTTACAGTATGAATGTGAGGTGATATCAATGCAAGGTCAATGCAACTTTGAAACTTTTTTTTATCACATTTATTATATCCAGATTTAGTTTTCTATTCAGGTGGACTGCAGTGACCGCTGACATAATCTGACATAATGAGGTGATATATTATTTCCTCTGCCATTTGCAGTGTCTTTTTTTAAATGAAGCTTCTCTATGATTGGAAAGCTTAATATAGTCAAACATCCTGTATAGTTCATTTCAAATGGCACTATCGCAAATGAAACATACTGTACCAGTGCTGATGGTGAAATACCACTCAGGAGCAATTTCTTTTACTTAAGTTCCACACATTTCTGATGGATTTTCAGCTAAAGCATATACAAGCACAGTAATGCTCTCTCTTGAATGGGAAAGGACAGATTATGCTTTTCAGAATGATAAAAGTCTGTCCGTAGTTCAATACCAAGGATTAATGTGGCATTCTGGATTTGCTTCATGGGATCTCTGTGGCTTATGACAAAGCCGGAGGTCCACTGGAATAATGTGTGAGGATGGATATATTGCATGTGGGTGTTTGCACACGTTGATAAATGTGAGAGGGTTGGCGTCAACCTTACATGACAAACAAAGCTTACACTAACAGCCAAGAGTGAACATCCCCTTCAATAAATTTACACAAGCTTTCAGGTGCTGGTTTTTGTTGAAGTAACATGTTTGTATAAATGCAGTGTATTAAATTTAGCTGATTTTAATCCATGTCTTTCTGATAATCACAACAATATGCATATCAGATAAAGCAGGGAGTAGCATCAGGTATTAGATGGATTAGTTTATAGCGAGTGAAAACGAATCATGATTGATAAGCATGTTGTACCTTTCATTATTAATGTTATAATTTATTCAAATCAAGGCTAAAATATTGTTTTTCATGTTGGTAATAATTATGATTCAGATGTTGTGTGCTGTTGGATTATGGGAAAGACATTTTCCATCAGGCACCTAGAAGTCGAAAGTCAACTGGATTTCAAGAAGGTGACAGTTTTCAAATTGTTTTAGATGGGATCATTTATCATTTTATTATTATGTTGGGATTATCTGATCAGCTCTTCACACTCTTGCAAAGGAAAACTGTTTTTTTTCCTGTTTTTTTTTTTTTTTTTGTCTTGTCTCTTCTGATAATGTTCTGTCAGCTTGTCTTGTGATTTTTTTGCATTTTGCTTGCAAGATTGTAAAAGAGAAAGATAATTTATTTAACGCATGCAATTTATGATTGCTTTATTTTTTTTCAGAATTTTTTTCGTATGTCACACCGTGTGCATAATTATTAGGCACGCTGATATTCTGATGATAATTTTTTTCCAAGCACATTTGACCAATTCCAAACCACATCAATCTTAATAATCACTACTGATTTTGAATTTAATCATTTATAAGTGATATATAATTGTCCATGAAGGCTGGAAGTGAAAAACTCCTTATATTCAGGTGTGCAGAATTATTAGGCATGTTTTCTTTTACTGATAAAATGAGCCAAAAGAGAGGTTTAACTCAGACTGAAAAGTCTAAAATTATTAAATCCCCATGAGAAATATTCAAAACTTATGCAATACAGAAATTGCAAAGTTAAGACATGACCGTTGGACAGCAAAGTGCTCACTGGGACAGCGGGGTCAGAAAAAACAGGTGGAGAAGAAAAGACACGTTAACTGCAAAAGATTTAAGAATTAATGTGAAGAATTAGATGTAAAACCAGGAAATCAGGAAACATTTAGTCTCCAGAACTGCAACCTTCTTGGAGTCTCCAGAATTACAAGGTGTCAGGTTCTCAGAGATTTTGCTTGGGTAAAAAAATCCTAAAAAATGACCCTCACTTAATAAGAATAACATGCTGAAGTATTGTGAAATACATTAAGACACATTTTTTATAGGCTTTATGGACAGATAAGTTGAGAGTGTCTCTTGAAGGACCAGCACCACATCCTCTTGTACCACTGTTTGAAGAATTTATCTTCCAGAATCTGGCAGTAAGTTTTAGGAGCTCATTTTTATTCCATCTCCTATCCTGAAAAGTCTGTCTTGCAGGATTGACTATATATATATTTAAGTTGTTTCTGCTGGCATTTGTTCCTTTGGAAAGTAATTTTTTTGTTTTTTAACAGAGTGTTTCCATTTGAAGATGTTGTTGTATAGCTCTATTCAGTGTTCATTTATGAAACAGCTTCTTTCAGCGTTCACATAACAAGCACACTGAAGAGAAACCACACGCGGGAACTCCTTCATAGTCTTTTTAATTCAAGCCTGAGTGAAATTGATTGGTTTGTTTTGGATCAATACGTGGCATTGTAACATGGGACCCGCTTTGAATGCACTGAGGAGGAACTAAGTGTCCTTCCTCCTGAAGTATACATCATATTTTTCAAATTCTGTGGACCATAAGACACTGCTGTCTCTAAATGAATCATCATCGAGGGATACCTACACATAGTCCTTGAATGTCTCCCTTGTTCTTATACAAAAGTTTTTTGTATGAGTCAGATTGTGGTATAATCTATTCTCTCAGAATTAATTGGACACTATTTTTTTGGTCTCAATTGTATACATCATATTTTTCAAATTCTGTGGACCATAAGACACTGCTGTCTCTAAATGAATCATCATCGAGGGATACCTACACCTAGTCCTTGAATGTCTCCCTTGTTCTTATACAAAAGTTTTTTGCACGAGTCAGATTGTGGTATAATCTATTCTCTCAGAATTAATTGGACACTATTTTTTTGGTCTCAATGATTTTTTCAGTAGTGTAACAGTAGCTGGTTTCAAAGTACTTTACTTGCTTTTCTAGTAACAAGCTAATCTTTTCCATTTAGTTCAAATGCATAAGTCAGATTAATTCTAATGAATCAGTTCATATAAAACGGTTTTCTCTCTCGTGCTGTATATGGAATTGTAAAGTCTGATTCATTCTAGTGAATCGATTCATCATAAACAGTTCTCTCTCACATGTAGAACTGGAAAGTCAGATTCATTTTAATGAATCAGTTTATCTTAAATGGTTCCCTCTCTCTCATACTGTGTAGTTGGAAAGTCTGATTAAATAAGTGAAATGGTTCCTAAATGATTCTCTTTCGCATACGAAGATTTGGAAGGTCTGATTCAGTTTAGTGAATTGGTTCAACTTAAATTGTTCTCTCGTATAAAACATTGAAAAATGTTATACTCTTATAAATTGATTGCGTTGAATGAACACAAAAAAAAAGATTACAAAAATTGATTTACTAATTTAAATACTTTTTACTGTTTTTGATTTGGTTACATAAATTAGGATGTTTTGTTATATTTAGTACAAAATTACCATTTGATAGGGTAAAGCTAATTTATTTATTTATTAAATTACAAAATTAAAAATTAAATTACAAAAAATATATGATTTTTGTATTTTTAAAAACAATGCTCAAAATAAACCTTCAATGTAGTTAATTAATTTTGTTCATAACTTAGTGTACTACCTTTTCAACCAGTATTTTGACTGTATTTTAGCTAACTCAAATAGTGATAACAGTTTCAAAGTACACTTCAAAAAATATATACAGTGGGTACGGAAAGTATTCAGAACAAAGAGTGAAAAATTTAAGGGGGTCTGAATACTTTCCGTACCCACTGTATATATTTTTTTAATTTTTAGAGTTTGATTTACAAGAAAATACTATTTCAGTTTTTCTGCTTCAAACTTTATTCAACCAGTATTTTGACTGTATTTTAGCTAACTCAAATAGTGATAACAGTTTCAAAGTACACTTCAAAAAAAAAATTTTTTTTTTTTTAATTTTTAGAGTTTGATTTACAAGAAAATACTATTTCAGTTTTTCTGCTTCAAACTTTCATTTTTAATTAAATGTGTGAATTGACGTTTCTTCGTAACTGTAAAATTTACTACCAATTTCTGATTGAGAATTGTTTCTACACTACTTTCACATAGCTTCCTCAACACTGGGTAAATCGTATGACCCAAGAAATGTTGTTTTTTCCTCCAAGCATCTCAATAATTCATTGTTCATATTTGTATACAGCACAGATCAAAACAATGTGCTCGGTAAGCCACAGTGCTCAGTTGGGTCTCTTTGCGCATTGATTGGATGCAGAGTTTTGCATTCAGTGTGACATTGTGCATTGAGAAGGGCCAAGAAACACCTCAGTGAGAGGGTTGACGTGGCCTGTGTTTCTCTACTTTAGTTCAAAAAAGCCGTTTGACTTTAATTGTGTGGACACACTCCAGGACGCCAGCTCTCGGGGCTCATGGCATTTCAGTTAAAGTCGAGAGCGCAATAAACAGATGCAGCTTCTAAATAGAGTAGCCAGTGTGTGTATCTTGAGGTTAATGACCTTTAAATTTCTCACACAGGTAACCTCTCAAAGACCTGTACTGCTGATGGCTGGACCGAGATGGACCCGATGGAAATCGCAATACATTGTGGCTATAATCTGAATGGCACTGTTGACGATGTAAGTACAAAGTACACTATAAAATGAGCGTACCTGTAATTTTAATGGTAAAATACTGTAAAATCTTACTGTAAAAAAAAAAATAGTTGGTTAACAAGTAACAGATTTTTTAAGTTTTACATTAGTTTTTATACTGTTAAATTTACAGTTTTTGAAAGTGAAAAAGAACAAGCCATCTTATTATTTACATTGAAAAACTGTGAATTGACATTCCCAGAATCCTTTATGTTACCATTCACGTATGTCACAACTGTTTCTTCTTACTTTTTTGATCAGTTATGTACATTAGGGTTTTATGTTATGTCTTATGTTGTTGAATTCATGTTTATTTCGTTATTTTAGTGTCACATTATGTTTTTTTTATATTTGTGTCTATGACACCAAGCACCTTCTATGGATTAGTATTTGACTCAGATTGTGAAAAATCTACTTGTGATTCTACATATAGTTTTCTCATTACCACCTGTGTTTTTAATAGTTGTCAGTGTATTATAAAGGAACAAAGCAGATTTTAGTACTTCAATATGTTAATAATTCCTTACATTTATATAGCGCTTTTCTGGGTACTCAAAGCGCTTTACATAGAAGGGGGGAATCTCCTCAACCACCACCAGTTAGTATATTATATCAGTTAACAAAATGTAGGTTTTTACAGTGTACACTGAAGAAAATGATACTGAATTTTTTTAAGGTAAGTGGTTGCAAACAATTTATTTTAGCTACATTTAAAAAAAGTATATGTTGAAAGTTAGTCAACTAAATTTGTTTATTTAAATGTAGCTAAAATAAATTGATTGCCACCACTTACCTTAAAAAATGTAGTAAATTCAATGAATCGGGTTTTTTTCAGTGTACTTTACCATCTCTGAAGGTGGTTGAGAGACTTTAGAAAGCACCATACATGCAAAATATCTTAATAAAGTTATGTCAAACTAGTGTTTTCAACTCCACTGGCATTATACAACACCAAAATGCTCCGACTCTTGACGTATTGAACTTTTAGCTCGCAGAAAGCAATCGTTCTCATGTCATATTGAGTGTTCCTCACCCAAAAAACCCAATCTTTAACATTCACCCTTTTTCAGTCAACCTTTTAGCCTGCTCTTCCAGCCAGCCTTTTATTGCCTAGTGCAAACGAACAAGTCCAAACATAATAGTTCCTTTATTTAGCGTTGCACGTCGTTGTCAGCCTTTGGATGCATTTGTAAACATACTAATAATCCACCACTGAAGCAGATATTATATAACATGAAACACCTTGATCTTTTGAGCAGAGTGTAGTTAAGTGAAGAGCAAATGACCTTTGCCCTTTGATGAAAGCTTTCCCAGCATGTGTTCGCATCAACAGGATGGGTAATCAGCACGCACGGTCCTCAGATCCACAGGGAATATGTGGGCATGGGACTTAAAAGGAATTTTATGTTGTTGTTGATGAGTGTCTGATGCTCCTTCTTGCCATGTTCAGGTTTTTATATTTAACTTCGGTCAAAGACTATAGAGGGGGTTATTTGAATACGCTCTATGCAGGTGAGTCTTTTAGCAAAGCTTTGCGTGGGAGAGACAGCACAGTACCCATTCTTACCACAAAAAAGATAGCCTTAAGTAAAGAAACATTCTTTTCAGACATCAGGATCCCATAAGTGGACAAAAAAGGCAGCGCATTGAGTCGTAGTCACATACTGCGGTTGTTTTGTTTTTGAGCTGTAGTGTTTATGAAGGTTGTGAATGCATGTTATTACCCCACTCTCGTCATACGTACTAAGAGCAGTATGCTGTTATAAATAATTTAGATTTGCACATAAAGCGCAAAAAATTATATTTCTTGCTTTTAATAGAATGATTTGTTAGAAAGCATGTTTAATGATACCATATACCGAACACGCTGTATAAAAGTTTGAAGTCATTACACTTTTTTAATGTTTTTGAAAGAAGTCATCATTTATTTGATCAAAAGTACAATAAAAACATGATCCTTCAGAAATCATTCTAATATGCTAGTATGCTGTTATAAATAATTTAGATTTGCACATAAAGCGCAAAAAATTATATTTCTTGCTTTTAATAGAATGATTTGTTAGAAAGCATGTTTAATGATACCATATACCGAACACGCTGTATAAAAGTTTGAAGTCATTACACTTTTTTAATGTTTTTGAAAGAAGTCATCATTTATTTGATCAAAAGTACAATAAAAATATGACCCTTCAGAAATCATTCTAATATGCTGATTTGCTGCTCAAGAAACATTTCTAATTAATATCAAATTTGAAAACAGTTGTGCTGCTTCATATTTTTGTGTCAACCATGAATTTTTTTTCCAGGGATCTTTGATGACTAGAAAGTTTAAAAGAACAGTATTTATTTAAAATATAAATCTTTTGTAATATTGTAAATGTATTTTCAATGTAATGTGTCCTTGCTGAATAAAAGTATTAATTTCTTCTTTCAAACAAACAAATCTTGACCTCAAACCAACAGTAGTGTAATTTAAAGATTCAAGAAGAATTAAACTGTTCAGTGCTATTTAGTAAACGTGTATTCTTTCTTTTCTTTTGCAGGATAGTTTCTTTAGGTCGGTGAAGATCGGCTACACCATCGGGCACAGTGTTTCTCTCATCTCTCTCACCACTGCCATTGTCATACTTTGTATATTCAGGTAAGAAATTCTACATTTGTTGAAACTATTGCTAACATGTACTTGCTATGGTGCAGGGGTGAATTATGTTCTTTTGCAAAAATAGTTTTGCATTTCCAGATGTGTCATGTTTATGCTATCGTACTTGCTTTAACTAGTTTTAAAGCTCTATCCAAGGCAATTATTTCTAAGGAAAACGAGTTCCTTCCTAACTGACAACTCTTTGAAATGAACTGACAGGGCAGTAATTACATTTGCTTTTTTATACAAATCGACTGCATGAACAGGGTCAAAGAACAAGGTACAAATACAAGGTACAAGTCAGTGAGATTTAAATGTAATGTGGAATACATTTGTGGCTATTAAAATGTATGTTTTTAAAATACTAATTAATATTAAGTATGTTAAAATATAAATATAAATAATATTAATACAATATTAATTTAAAATATTTATCAGAATTAATTTGAATGTTTCTAGACACAAAAATACTTTTGATCCTTAATACGTTTTTTTGCCTTTTTTCACATTTATTTTTTTCTGTCAAATACAGGGCTCAGTGAGTCCTACTAATGTTTCACATTGAAGGATGTCATTTTGATTAAGCTAATGGTTAACAGGCTTTAAACACAGAAAACAGTGCTTCATGCGTGGTTGTAGCCAACCCCAGATTCACCATGGGGCGTCATGGAGTCAGTGAATCACTGAAGCTGTCGAGGATTAAACAGCAGACAACATGCATCCGTTTTGACACTACAGTGATTGATCTAGCTCACCAGAGGCAAAACGGTCTGCTAATGACAGAGATAAGAGCTTTCTTACATGTATATTCCAACACACACATTTCATCTTGGCCAAACAAGACTCCCCACCATCAGAGAATCATTCCAGTGGGCATTAGTGCTCACATGTAAACCCAGTAGTGAACCATAAACACGGTTTTAAACCCTTTAAATAACACCAAGTTAGCATTCAAATGGTGTAGGCAATATCATTTATGTATGAATTAAACACTGCATGCATTTGTGGATCAGACTATTTATGATGCTCTTCTGGTGGATGATTTATTTTTGTCATGGCACATTGCGGTGACATGCTCATTATAGTAACTGCTATAGAGGTAGCTTACTCATAATTACTTAAGTTGCACGGGGATATTTGTAGCAATAGCCAAAAATACATTGTATGCGTCAAAATGATAGATTTTTATTTTATGCTAAAAATCATTAGGATAGACACGGCTTTACTCTCTCTTGATGCAGAGAAGGCCTTTGACCGCATCGAATGGCACTATCTATTTGAGGTGCTCACACGCTTTGGCTTTGGCGATACATTTTGTAAATGGGTTAGATTACTTTGTACTGGGCTCACTGCAGAAGTTTTGACCAATAATGTGGTCTCTAAATCTTTTAGTATCTCTAGGAGTTGCCCACAAGGTAGTCCTCTTTCACCTTTATTATTTATCCTTGCAATAGAACCATTCGCCATAGCGGTACGGGCACATACTGATATTTATGGAATCCAGGAGCGTCATCTGCAACATAAATTATCATTATTTGCAGACGATATTATTTTGTTCTTGAAAAATCTGAGTAGCTCTGTCCCAGCGCTCCTGGATCTCATTGAAACTTTTGGAAAAATATCTGTATATAAAGTTAATCTCTCCAAATCATCTATAATGTTACTTAATGAATCAGAGAGAAAAAATAACCTAGATTATGCTTCTATCTTCGAGTCAACAGATAATTTTACATATCTGGGTATAAAAATTGTTCATGAAGATTGCTCAGATTAATTATGACCCAATTTTGGAAGCTACTACCTCATCAGTAGAACGCTGGACATCTTTACCTATCTCAATGATTTGTGTATTTTACAAGCTAAACGAATAATTGCTCTTAATTGGAAAAATATCAATGAGCCAAGAATTGGAAAGTGGATTAAAGAAATGGCGTCAAACATGTCAATGGAAAAGATCACGTATATTGTCAAAAAGAAACAAAACGTTTTTGAAAATGTCTGGAGACCGTTTACTAATTTCTTAAGGCACAATGTTAATGTTGGTAGCCTGCTACAACAAGCTCTGAGGGAGTAAGGTAATATCGTGATCTTTTTACAGACTTGGGAAACACTCTTTACTTGATTTAGGTATCTTTAAATTTTTATTTTATTTATTTTATTTTATTTATTTATTATAATTTTTTATTATTATAATTTTTTTCCCTTCTTTTGTTTGGGGATGGGGTGATGGAATGATAATATTCCTGATACCTGAATAAAGTGTAATGAGGCGAGAGGTACACTGTACCACTGTATATGGGAATGCGAGAAAGTGAAGTCTTTTTGGAAAGGTATAATTGATATGATTGACCAAATTCTATCAAAGAAATTACCACTGGATCCTAAGCTTTTTATTCTGGGTATATATCCTTTCAGTCCTCTCTTACAAAGCAAAGAGGTCAGATTCATTGATGAAATGTGTATTTTACAAGCTAAACGAATAATTGCTCTTAATTGGAAAAATATCAATGAGCCAAGAACTGGAAAGTGGATCAAAGAAATGTCAATGGAAAAGATCACGTATATTGTCAAAAAGAAACAAAACATTTTTGAAGATGTCTGGAGACCTTTTACTAATTTCTTAAGGCACAATGTTAATGTTGGTAGCCTGCTACAACAAGCTCTGAGGGAGTAAGGTAATATC